GCGTCGTGTTGACATTGTAACAGGGCACGATGTTACTTGGATTTAGGGATAAAACATTATTTTATATGTGGAAAAGGCAAAGTCTGCAGTATAGCGAATGCCAAAAAGTATTCATGATGGTGAATAGGGATCTGACTTCTGCACATGTACCTGCTACCTGGCTGTGGTCACTGTGTGTCTAAGACTTGAGGTTTTTGTTACCTAAGTACAGAATAGGAGTACAACTGTCCAACCTCATGGAGGTATTGGGAAAAGCCTGGAGGAACACTGAATGCTCTTGTGCATCAAGATTCAATGTAATGTTAGTGACTCATTAATTCTTCGTGATTAAAAAAGAAATGCAGTCATGCTTTCAAATGACTAATTCAGTGACTCCTCTAGCACATTTGTGTGCCTCCCTCCCTCCTTCCCCCCTGCATAAGGACTGCTTGTCCTTTTCAATCCCAGTGCACCATTCCACGCTAATATAAATTAACTACTGTGTGACTTTCGTTCATTATGCGTAATGGAAACAGCTTTTAATAGTGATTTTTTTCTTCTTCTGCAGAGAAACAAGAAAAAGAAGTTGACATGTATGCCAACCTTTCAGACGAAAAGGCCTTCGTGTTTTCAGTGGCCTTGGCGGAAATAAACAGAAAAATTATCAATCAGAGACTTATTCTGTAACTTGTAAGCACAATCTGTTGCATTTATATGCAGAACGGCTAGCACATTTCCAAGGTGTAATGGATGCTGAGGAAGTATGTTGTCTGCACCAACAAGGACCACAGTATTTCCTGTTAAAATTCAGCTGCTCTCCTTGGAATTTGGATTCTGTCTCCAAGTCAGAACAAGTGTTCCCAAGATTGTGTCTGAACAATACAGAAATAAAACAGCAAGGAGAAGTTTTATGCCTTGAAGTTGAGTGCTAGATGAATGCACAGAGAGACTGCACCCATTCCAGAGCACTTCTTTTAGATTTGCCGCCAGAAATGCAATATTTTAAATACTTTCAGAAATAAATGATTTTTCTTTTAAAATATATATTTCAGATTTTTCAACTATATTACAGTTTACATATGTACAGTTCACTTTTTAATAAATTGATATTCCAGTATTTTATTGAACTGGGAATTAAGTAAATCTATCATATTTAAGGTGTGTTGTTTTTATCCTCTTAAAATTTGGGACTCATCCTAGGGATGAGGGTGTGTGCATGGGTTTTTTTTTCTTTGTGTGTGTCTTTTTTGTTTTGTTTGTTTTTTTAATATATATATCATGTAACTGTGATTAGAAGAAAATTAAAGCAGTTCTGCTTTGGAGGATTCTGTTTGGTAACTTTACAAATTTCGTCTTGAAGGGATTTTCTTGCATGTGAAGGGTTTGGGGTTTTTGTTTTGTCTGTTTTTTTTTTAAATCATGTATACTTTTGGGAGATCAAGCTTCTGAAATTTGAGAGCAAAAGAGTTGTTTCTTAATCACTCATTGCTGGATGTCTATCCAACTGGTAAGCACTTCTTCCCCATTCTTCCATGGTCAATCCTTTACTGGGGAAGGAAAAATCAGCTATCTGTGATATAGATGTGCAGCTAGCATATCTTCACTTGATATTCTGAAATGATTAGGACACTATAGTAGTAGTTTCTGCTTGCAGTCAGTTCTTGTGGTCAGTCTTTTAAATGTCTAATTGTTGGGAGTGATGCCTTTGAAATGTTGTAATGACTGGTCTTGTTCTTGCAAGTCTACCTGAGTGTGAAAAATGAGCGGCTCCAATAGAAATAGGCTTGGGGCAAGCATTCAACAAAGTAGTCTTTGTTGAAGGGATATAGTGCAGCTTGAGGCAAAACACTTACATGTTAGTGTTTGCTTTAAAAAACAAGAGAAACATGGAAAAAAATAAGCCTCAAATCCTGTAAATACTGAGGGAAGAAGGGTGGGCGACAATTGCCCTTGTAAAACGTGATATTATTTTTATCTGCTTTCGCTTACTGCTTTCTAAGAAGTAGAATGCAACTAAATATATTGTGGGTTTTTATTTGTTTGCTTGTTTGTTTTTTCTTCGGTGATATTCAAATAATTTTTAGTATGAGCTTAATTTAATAGTAAAAATTACTTAACGTTCTGCTACAGAATTGATCTCTGGGAGAGAGTGGAGGTTTTTATTGATGAAGTCAAATTATTAAATGCCGACTATTATTATTTATGGTGTAAAGTAAGGAGCTATCTAGTTTTCAGTTGAGCCACAAAGGACAGATCATATGCAAATATTGCAAACAAAAGAGAACATAGAACTTGATTTTAAATTTTTAATTCATAAAGAGTATTTGGGATCTTCTGTATCAGTGGCTGAAAGGGATAGGTGTGTAAATGACTTACTGATGATCTATATTTGTCTCTCTTTCAGTAAATGAGGAATTGCAAACACAAGATCTATTTGCCTACATCATGCAACTTCTGCTTTCCGGAGCTGTAGCCAGATACCAGTAGTAAAGACAGATGAGTAACCCGTAATGACAGAGTGCATCATAACTGCTGTTGGCAAGGTAAGTAGTTAAATTCAGAAGGACAAAAGGGAGGGTTCTAGTTCTCATTTTGAAAACTTAAGGTGTGATTAGGTTTGTATTGATCCCATTTTCTGAATAAGATCTATTGTGTAAAAGAACAGATGAAGGGAAGTACTAATCCTGTGTGCTCAGTGCTCCTAATTGAATTGCTGCAGACACCTATTTCTTTCTGATCCTATATACCAAAAACCCCCCAAAAAAAACAAAAACAAAAAAACCACACCTTTAAGATAGTGTGTTATGTTCAGAGGACTGGAGTTAGGTATTGTTAGATGTGACAAAATTTAGCTTACTGTTTTTGAGTAGTCCCTTCACCATTAAGCACTGAAAAAATACATTTGCACCTATCTCCCTAATGTATTCACACCTCCGTACTCCAGCTGGCCCAGCTAGAAGGAGAGGCACATTGGGAGCCCAACTCAAATGCCTCTAGGTAAATGCACCGTGTTGCTACCATGGGGAATAAACAAGGGGACTTAAGAGATGTGTGTGCCATTGTAGAGCCGTGATCTCGTGACAATTACTGAGACATGGCGAGACAGCTCTCATGACTGGAATGTGGTCACGGAGGGCTTTAGGCTTTTTAGGAAAGGCAGGCCAGGAAGGTGAGGTGGTGGAGTTGCTCTTTACATGAGAGAGCAACTGGAATGTATGGAGCTTGGCATAAGGGCGGACGAAGCGCAAGTCAAGAGCCTATGGGTGAGGATTAAACAACAAGCCAGGAGGGGCAGTACTGCGGCGGGTGTTTACTGCAGGCCGCCTGGCCGGGAGGAGGTGGATGAGGCCTTCTACAGGCAGCTGAAGTAGCCTCATGATCACAGGCCCTGCTCCTTATCGGGGACTTCACCCAGCCTGATGTGCCGCACAGCTAGGAACAGACAGTCCAGGAGGTTCCTGCAGAACATTGTAGATAACTTCTTGATGCAGGTGGTGGATGATCCAGTGAGGAGAGGGGCGCTTCTAAACGTGGTACTAACAAACAGAGATGATCTAGTTGGAAATGTGAAGGTTGGGGCAGTCTTGGCTGCAGTGACCATGAGTTGTTGTAATTCACAATCCTGTGAGGAAGAAGTTGGACAAGAAGTAGAATTGTAACTTGGGACTTCAAGAGAACTAACTATGACCTCTTCAGGGAACTCCTTGGAGGAATCCCCTGGGCCAGGGCCCTAGAAGGAAAGGGGGATTAGGAGAATTGGCTAGTATTCAAGCAGCACTTTCTCCACTTAGGATC